CGTGAGGGGCTTGGTGGTGTGCGTGTGGGGGGGGTAGGCTCACCGGTGGGCCGCCCGAGGGCTCCGCAGGGTCTGTGGGGGGGGGTCGGCAGGGCCGGTTTGCGCGGGCCGGGGTCGGCGGGAGCCCGGGGAATGGGCCGGGCCGAGGCCTCCACAGCGCGGGTGACAGCCCCGTCTCGGTGTCCCTCTCTCGTAGGACCGCGGGAGGAGTCCGGTCCCGGCCGTTCTGCCTGTTTCCCAAGCCCCCGAGCGTCCGCCGCGAAGGCTGACGTCCCGGCCGTCGGTGCCGGCCCTGCGGGAGCGGGGCGGCTCGGCCCCGGTCGGCCTGTTGCTGGTTGGGGGGATGCGGCCTCCGCCGTGACTTCTTTCTGCCCTCGCCACGGCCTGCAAGGAAGGAGACGGGGCGAGTAACGGCTGCGTGGCGGCACCGGTTGTGGAGCGTCCCTGTAAGGTTGTCCAGGCCCTGCGTGATTTTTCTTTTCCTCCACTTTTTAAAGAAAGCCGTGACTTTGTGACAGTGACATCGCCCAGTAAAAAAAAAAGCCTGCGGGAACTTCATGTGTGCGGACTCAAACTGGCCTCTTTTTCTCCCTCTTTCCCCTCCCCACCTGAAATCGAGGCGTTCTGGCATGACAGGGGAAAGAGCCCTGTGTGACGGTGACACTTAGCATCATGCTGGCCCCGGATGCGTCACGCCCGCCTGCTTCTTGTGCTGAGTGGTCAGGAGTTTGTCAAGAAGCACTTTCTTTTGCTTCCGTGCTGTACTGCGAGCCGTGCACTGACTGGAGTAGGCAGCCCAGACCTGACTTTCTGAATTTAGCTTGTGCGTAAATACTGCCATTGAGTCTAGCATCCTGCGCTGCTTTTCAAAAGCAAATAACTAGATCCTTTTTTGAACTGTGGTCTCTAGAGATGGGTACGCATACCTTTATATTCTTATGTCTAGAAGACACCCCTGATGGAGGACTTTCTGGGGACAGTTTTTGACGTAAGCGTTTTACAAGTGGAACTGAAAAAGGCGTTATTTAAAGTTCTTGGAGTAGGAGCCTCTGAAGGGACAGGATGGCTGTGAGCATGGATGATGATGTTCCCCTCATCCTCACCCTGGACGACAGTGGAAGCAGCGCCTCAGCCCCTCTTGATGACCTGGATCGGGAGGAGCTGCCTAACGAAAGTAAGATCGCTTTGTTGTTTCCGGCCCGCTGTGATGGCCTCGCTTATTTTTTCTCTTTGCGGTGGCTGCTCTTTCTTGCGCTTGCCAGGACCTGAAACTCTCAGAGCTCTCGTTCAGTGTCCCGGCAGCTGCCTGAGAAAATCAGATCAGGAAGTTGCTTATTGTGTTGCTTGTTTACTCACAGTACCCGTGTTACACCGAGAGGGAGGAGGACACTGGATGGACAGGTCCTACCGATGCCATTTCTAACACACATTTTTTGTGGTTTCCGTGTAATAACCTGTGACCTCGTTGTCCTTAAGCTCAACTCTCCTTTCCTGCACATTGGCCCTGAGCATCTCCTTTTCTTGGCACTGGCCCACCGTGCCGTACCAGTGGCCTGAGCTGTTAGGCGCAGCAGCTGCAATTATGTCATGTAGTATTTTCCTAGCACCATAAAGCATCTGTCCTTTGCAACTGTTGTTTTGCCTATTTCTAGTTTACGTTCCGATTTTTGCGATAAGGAAAGTGATAAGTGTTGATAAATCCCTTTAACATCTTTATTGTATTCTTATCAAAGAACCAGGAGTACTTTTAGAAAATATATTCGTGCTCCTGTTAGCCCCAGGTATTTAGTGGGATAGAGCCAGCCTATGAGCGTTGAGAGGGGGAAAACAAAAGCCATCATCCCTTAGAAGCATTGCTTTCTCCTCAGTATATCTTTGGTAGAGCCCTGCACTAGGTGAGATGGGAACAGCAGATGTGTTTGAGCATGTTCAGTGAGCTTCTGTTTTATGTTATACCTCACTGAATGTATTTGAGCAGTTTTATTCAACACATCCCTTTGACTTCCAATTGACATTGCAGGTGCATGCACAGGTCTTGTGATCCTATTAAAGCCCTTGCTGCCACAAGCTTAACATTTGTAACAAATAAACCGTTTCCTGGCCTGGCGTCCCTTTTTTCTACATTATACCTCTATTCCATACTGCCTCTGTGACTCTGTGATTTGATTTCTCTCTTGCAATCTTATGGGTTCCCTTAATTTTCTCCTTTTGTGACTTCCTGAGCCAGTAGGATTTCTGACAATCAAGATTCCTCCTCCCTCCTCCTCCTTTCCCACCCCTGCAATACACATCCCTGGCTAAATTGCCCAGTTGACTTTCTCTAAGCTCCGCTGCATCGTTGCTCCATTGCATCTGCTCTATTGCATCTGTTTGTCTTTTAAAGTTTAGCTCGCTATTCTTAAGTTCAGTAGAAGAGAGAATGCTTCCTCTGTCCACTGGTGTATTTATAGGCTTTCTTGTGACTGATTTTAATCACTCTTCTCTCATCTATTTCTTCCACCCGCCTCCCATCCCTTTAAAGAAGAAGTTCTGTGAGGTTTATCATTTGGTTAAAGCCAACATGACTGTGCTAAAGCACAAGCATGAGAATGAATGTATTAATAAATAAAAATATTCCACTATCTGCTTCCCTTGAAATACAGGGAGATTGTTTAGGGGCCAATTTTGTGCTTCTTAAAAGATTGCTGTGTGGTTTTTGAGAATTCATTTCCTGGGATTCTTCAAATGAAGTGTCTCTTGGTATTAAAGAACTGTTATTTTGCTATATGTTTTAATCACTGTTAAAGTTGAATTTGCTGAAAAAAACATAAAGCTTATTCTGTGCAAGTGATGCTGAATGATACGGAGCCTTCTGAAGTCAGTGGGTACTGTGAGAGTGGGATAAAAGATTAGAAAAGGAAGGCTGGCATAAACAACTTGAAAGGCACATCTATCTCTGAGAAGCGGGAAGCTTAAATTAGTGAGCGAGCAAGCCTAACGCCATCACTTGCAAAAGTAAGCTTGTTTAAAAACAGAACGTGTAGTCCAGCTTTCCTCTTTGCCTGCAAAGAAAATCTGTGAAATGTAGAAAAGTTGTGTCTCGTGGAGGCTGTGAGGAATTCAAATGTTTCCCCTCTGCTCTGCCCCCACTTCTCTGCTGAGGACTGAAATGACATTAACAGAACTGTATAATTCCACATTTTTATTCAGAGGCTTGTCTTTTTCAGGGAGAAAGTCCTGTCCCAACCAGTCCTTTTCAGGAGAGGGAGAGCCTGCTAGGGTGATGATGAGGGCATGGGGACAGGGAAGGTCAGGAGGTTGTTGCCTTCTGGTTTTGTCTTCCTTATGCCAGAATTTGGAGGAGTAGCTCACTTGTTACTGTGCCTGGCCATCGACTCCTAGGGATCTGGTGGCAGGTTAAACACAAAGCTTTTATTTAAGTGTGTCCCCAGATACCGGCAGGGACTGTTTGCAGTGAGGGACCCGTCATCCTCTTGCCAGGTGACAACAAGGGAAAGACAAAGTGGCTGTAACCGCCCTTATGTTAAATCATGCGTCTGAGGTTGATAATAATTAAGTTGCACTCTTGTTTTGTGTCAGTGTGTCAATGAACCTCTCTAAATTTTAATCCATATTCCAGCTTGTCACAACCATCTTGCTAAGTGCTGGGTATCTGTGTGATTTCAGTACATCAACTCTCATGTTTTTTAAGGAACTTCTTGCGCTTTTTAAAAAAAACAAACTTGATCCCTGAGGTAGCTTTGTTACAGTCGGGTCCTTGGATAGATGAATTTGTAGTTTTGGACTCCTGGTGTTGATTGTCTGGCAATGCAGACAAGTTACTGGGTTGAAATAAGTAGTAACAGGGTTTTCTGAAAGCAAGCCTGTTGCAGATGTAAAAAGAAAGGACTAAATGCAAGAGTGTATTCCTTTCTGAACCTTGCAGGAGAGTCTTATTCTGGGGAAGTGAATGTCTTGGGGTTAGAATAAAAGAAAGCTAAATGAGAAAACTGTGTGGAAAATTACATTCTTAAAGAAAATGTCCAGCTGCAAAAATTAATCTCCCTAATCATACAGCTCTTAAGCACTTAATGGGAGAAAATACCTGCATGGGAAAGAATATTAAAACTCTGCTTTCTTTGGCTTGGGCTGGGATCAATGTCTTTCAGGGATCTCCCATTTGCAACCACAGCGAAAGGTCAGAATCCTGCAAAGCTGATGGGAATTCAGACCACATCCAGAAAAATGTGGTCCCTGTGGTGCCAGTGGTTTTCTGACTACAACATGTAGGACTGTGGTGCTGGGTAATTTTTCTTTCAAGCTCCAACAGCTGAAGGAGACAGAGAGAAGCACTTTCGTCACTTGAATCCACGCTAATTAATATGATGCTGCCCTTCCCTGGTACATCTTATCTGAGAATCTCTGAGTGCTGTACACACTCTAATTAAGCTTCCCAGCAGCTGTCTGAGGTGAATGACTAATACTAACTGAATTTCTGTAGAAGGTAAAAACAGGGATGCAATCCTTGCACGACCTTTCCCAAAATCATGGTGAGAAGCAGCTGGGGTTGAGTGATTTCCCGTCCCTCACCTGAACTCCGGGGAAGCATTGGAACGGGGTTCTCAAAATATCTCAAAGTGTGAGGTATGTTTTCCATATACAAAAGCAGTGTGGATAGCCTTGAAACTCTAGGACGGTGTCTCTCCTTGAGCTGATGGGAACTATAAGCAATAAATGAGTGCACATTGATTTATCCTGTATTAGATCAGACACGAGAATCTCCTTTGCCTCCTGCATGGAAATTGCTGTAGCCTCAAGTGGAGTTTCAGTGTGTTCAGAGCAGAAAGTACAGCTCAAAGTGTTGTACAGGGAATAATATGATACTGTATGTCTGTTTCTCCCACACAATGGATTATGGCAAGTGGAAGAAGTCATCTTTAAACTCTGGGTTTTTACAAGAAAGCAACTGCATCTGCTATTGAGGTAAAAATGAATTATTGCGTATGTGTGGGGAGGTGCGGGGAGCAACCGCAACAGCAAAGTGCAATGTTTTCTAGAAGAATTGTTGGAAAATGGGAAGTTAAAACTTTGATGTTGAGGTTTCAGCTGAGCCTTTGCAATCTGTTTCTGCTGCCTGAAGAGTAAATTGTCAGGAAAACTAGAGCCGGCCTGGCCTTTTGGGTAGTAGGAGAATTGTTGACGCGTGTGCCCCCATGACTGTGCACTGCCGTGAAGGAGCAGGTGGCCCAAAGCATGTAAAGAAAATAACATTTTACTGTTGGTGAAGTTGGAGGGGCTGCCCAAGGTGTGCTTGGTGCGGAACGTGACTGTAGATAAGGAGAGCAGTGACTGCCTCTGGGACTGTTGGTTGTGCCTGTAAAACAGTGTGTGGTGTGCGCTGTGCTTCCTGGAGCTGCTGGAAGGAGGGCCTCTTCCCTTGCCTTGCTTCTGCACATCAGCCCAGTTCCTTGATGAAATGTAGGAAGATGCTTTCAGCAAAGCTGTTCTTTTTGTAATTGGCTGATGGAAACTCAAGTGATGTTTCTGAACACAGAGTCTAATTACAGCATTAGTGGATGTTGTATGTAACAAACATGTCTTTTAAAAAAAAAATAAATCATTTACTAATCCCCGGGTAGACATATGCTTTTGGAGGTGGCCCAGGATTGGTGGCACTTAGTGTTGTTCTTTTGAGATGTGTGAGCCACCTGGATTTCGATGTGTTCGGCAACCAATGCAACCTGAAGTGATATAATTCTCTTCGTGTTGGATCTGGTTCCAGAACTTGTTTCTATCAGCAGTGAGAGAAAGTAAGTCTGTCTGCACAGTCCACAGCTTCAGCTCATCTGGTCAACAAGTCCCTGCTCTTCAAACGCTGTTTCCTGTAGTGCTGTCCATGGATGAAAGAGATGGGCTGAGGGAACAAACAGAGAATAAATACCTGACCTTTGGGGAAATGCTGCAACCACACAAACTCGGTAGCTGTGCTTTTTGAGGTACCACTTTAATTGCAGTGAAAGCATTCTGGCTTTGCTACCTTTGAAGAAAAACAGGCATTTTAAATGTTAGCCATCTAGTAGATTTAATAAATCCTCCAGGATCTGTAGTTTTTGATCCCTGTGTGAAAGCAAGGATTTCAGAGATGGTTATTTGGACTTGGGCACTAGTTATAAAATGCTGTCGCTAATTGGTGTG